ACAAACAAACAAACAAACAAACTCTTCCGCTTTATACCTCTATAATAGTATATAAGATAATGGTATAAGATATAAGATTTGAATAAAAAAAACCAAAGTAAAATGTTTGACTTCAGCTCCTTTCAACGCTCATAACTCAGTCCAGACTGAGATTTCCATACATGAGCCCTATGGGCTCACTTTCATATATGTATATGGGGACAATTTCGTTTGTGATATCATTCCAGACAATATCTTCCATAAATCATCGACTGACGCTAGAAAAAAGAAAGGCACCAAATTTAGTCAATGCCCAAATGAGAACCGATAGCAAACCAAGGGCCCCTAGACAGAATTTGCTACAGGCCCCGCGCTGGCTTAATCCGGCACTGCCTAGATGTACGCATATTCAAGTACTATTGTCCTGGAAATATCATAATCGTACGTGGGTAATTAGTACATCGTCATTCATAAATGACGGGTAAAACTTAACAGTCCATTTGTCATGCATGTGCGTGTGCCACTGATTCATAGTATTATATTTCTACTTTTACCTTCGACGGAGCAACAGTGCACTGTATCGAGTCGATACTATCGACACGACTCCACTCGCGTTAGTCAGTTAAATTAGAAATATTTAAAAAAAGAGCTAGAGTTATTAAATTTCGTTTAAAGTGTAATATAAACAAATAATGAACAACAATAACAGAACAGGTGAGCGATTATTATCCTTTTGTCATTTTGCGAATTGATTACACGGTAACTTAGGTCTTAGTTTGAGAATTTAAATGGCAGTGTTAATGCGTGCCTTTGTTTAATCTGTTGTAGATTTTTTTTGTGTACGTTGCTAGATGTCTTAATTTTTGTACTTCAAGCTGTGTGATATCAGTAAAACATTGTAAACTTTTCTATCCGTTATTTTTAAATTTCGAACGTTAAGTTTCGGTTAGATGATATACCTATCTGCGTTTTAGGATACCCTTTAAATATAAAAAAATGTCATAGTTCTCTGTTCAAAAGTGGAATACTCAATAACGGCTATACCAATTTTGAAATTACTTTCTTGCAAACACCAATTAAGAGTTTGAATGTAGAATAAAGATTTGAAAATTTACCTATTTAAGGTTTTTTTATGGGATTAGCCGGTAAACCAGCAGACGGATCACCTGATGGTAAGCAATCGGCGTCCCCCATGGACACCTGGAACGCCAGAGGTGACCGTTACAAGTGCGGTACCGGCCTTTTGGGGATTAGGAGATATGGATAGGGACGGGCGAGAGATAGAGGAAGGAAGGGAGATAATTGGGCCTCCGGTAACCTCACTAACATGACGAAACACAACGCAAGCGTGGTTTTACGTCAGTTTCCTGTGAGGCCGTGGTATCACTCCGGTCGAGCCGGCCCATTCATGCCGAAGCACACGTGGCTCTCCCCACGTGAACGTCATCATTTTGATGAAACTAGTTAGTAAAATAGTAATAAGCCCAATTGTTCAATATGGACCGCAGATTGTAACTGATAACAGGCGATTTGACCCTTTCAGTGAAGATCAGTGAGAGTGAGAAGCCGTCGAACGCTTTCATGGAGTTCGCAGCTGCACTGAAGCCGTACGGACCTTGGAGCTACCTGGTGGTCGGCATGTTGGTCTGTGCTACTATACTCATGTTCTGCCTGGCTTGGGGTGAGTTGAAAACATTATATTTTTTACTAGTGTGTAGTGTAAACTACTCGAATACGTATGTAGGTAGTTTACGAAGTTTTGTTATGATTTTATGATTCCTAAGTAAGGTAAATTGTAGTGGGATTTTGAATACAAAAAATTCTTTAGAAGTTGCCAGATGTGCACATTTTGAAATGCTACTTTTACCATCGCCAGTTATGTTACAAGTCCCATGTACTGCAGACTGACAACGAGCTGTTCCTTTACTTACAGAAAAAAGACGGGAAGAAAAAAATTCTTACCCATTTTTTACCTCATTTCTGGAGTCGGTTGACTCCCGAAATAATATTTCCCAAACTGTTTGTGACCACTAACAATGTTACACATTACCCCCTAAATAAAATGTTACCATTTCACCTTCCAGAGTGTTGCTGCAAGCGCTCCAAGCCGTCAGACACGCCAGTCAACATACCGCCATCTTGTATCGATCTCTCGCCAACTGTCACAGTGACAGCCGCATCACAGCAACTCTTCACCCAACCCCTTCCTCCATCACCCCCTGAATACGAACCACCCCCATCCTATTCCTCGTTATTCCCTCGAGCCTTCAAATCATCCCCTACGCCAGTACCGCACTGCTCACACCAAGAACCTCCGGATTGAATTCACAAACTCAGTTCTAGTAGCTCTTAAGTAGATTATTACAATTCTCTAGTATTAAGAATAGTGGTGAAAAGACAGTGTTTGACACAGAAATGTAATTTAAATTAAGCAAAAATGTTATTGGTTTGCTGAGGGACTGATGAATTGTGATTGGTTGTGAAAATAGAACTGTTTTGAAAATAACCGTTGCCTTTCTAGCATTATGGGTTTTTTGATAAAATTCTTTTGCATAGTTACCAGTTTCAGTTGCCATTTGATTCAGATCTTACGTCGGTCTCCCTAGATCGGTGCCAGAAAGATACCTAGGCACTTCCAATCATCATTTACCAGTCTTTCTAAAGCAAGTGATCTAAGCAACCAAGAAAATTGGACTGACTTGGTTGTCGTACCTACTAAAAACAATGACCTACCAATACCTACCATTCATACAAACTTGATTACAACATGACGTATTATCATAAAAATGATGACTCATATATACAGCTTTACTTTTTTTAAATCTACATTGAATTTTAACAAGATTTATTTACAATCAATCAATTTGTATATCTATTACTACAAACGTAAAGCCTTGTTCGCCCTGCTCTAGTATTTTAGTCGAGCAGCGAGTGTTTAGTATATCCCTCTCGCTTCTGTCCCAAAATCGAAGCGAGAGAGTTGCTAAATACTCGCTACTTAACTAAAATACTGCGAACAAGGCATAAGAGACAACAGGCATAGAACATAGAGTTCAAAATTGAATATAAACCTAAACCGTAAACAAGGCTTGTTAAAATGTTCTTTATGTGATTTTATGTGGAGTGTACACAACTACCAATGAATAAACACATTTGGAATTATAGGTTGACGCATTTCTATAGGTTTTATGAGTAACGAGATCGTTCCTTAGCAGTCAATAATTCCAAATGTAACTCTTTATACTCAGTAAATAAAGGTCAATTTGGCATGTAATTAATTTATAGTCATAACCTATTTGCCTGTTTAAAGCTAACAGGATAACTAATTGTTTCTAACAAACAGTGAAGAAGCTCTTGAGAATGATTACAAACAACATTTCAAAGAAAATATTCATTATAGACTTTCTATTTGACGAGTGAGGAATGAAATAGACAAAAAACGTTAGGGACGTCTTTTCTTTGAAATTTGAGTTCGAATATTTTCGAGGTGTTTGAATTTAGAACTACGATTGACACTTTCTCTTTCTTTCTGTCTAACTAAAACTTGTCTATTACCTGTGCGTTGAGCGTACTACGTAACCTAGGTCCTAGTAAATTATTTGGGACAAAGTAAATACGGTGTGAATTAATTTATGACTAGTCTAAAAAATTAAATACACAAAATTGACCTTCTGTTTACTAAAAATCTTAAAATCATAGGTTTAATCAATGGGTTTAATACCAATGAACAGACACTATCATAGGATATTAATAGATATTTTATAATTTCAATTTTATTAATGTGTTAAAAGTACAGACGGTAGCTAAGACAAAAGCCATGTAGTTACAAGTACAATAGGTTATTATTGCGTATTTTAATATATTTTTCACGTTATTACACATAAGGTTGGCATTATATTAATATTACTACATTATTGTTATTAAAATCTAATAGTTTTGGGACCAAATACCTTTATGAGATTTACTCATTAACTTCACAAGTTAAGAAAAAGAAATGTGGTGCACCTGAATAAAAGTGCCTTGGAGTATCTGTATACATTTATAAAAAAAAAAAACTTTTGTGTATTTGAAAAATTGGCGGGAATGATGACATTTGCGCAGTGTGCAATTTTTTTATCTGTGTTACTGTTATTTTATTCATAAAAGCAGTAGTATTATGTATTTTGTGAAATGATAGATTGTGTTTAACACGACTTAATAAATTGGTAAACAGTTTGACCATTTTTTTTTTCAATATTTTGAAAATGACAGTGTTGATTGTTGACTAAATTAAAAGTTTATGACAAAAAATGCATGTAAGTAAAACGTACGACCATTGAATAACTAGCAGTTTCTAAAAATTAGTCCTTTTTTTAACAGAAATGAAGTATTTTAAAATTGTTAGAAATTCCTATTTATCTTTCTTTTTTGTCATTGGCCATTTCTGTAGTCTGATAAATCAATCAATTTAATGAAGCGTGTCTGTGCTAAATAAAGTTTTACTAGTCTTCTTAGAATCTTTATAACTTTCATTATTTTATTAGTATTTTACTTTAATACTTGTATTAATTAGATTTTGTTAAATATTAGTTCATAAAGTGAATTCCAATGTAAGAAAAGAAGTGATATGTATTATAGTAAAATATTAACAAAACATATTATAAAGTATTTATTTTACTATTTGCGTTTTATTTTCTGTTTTAGTTTACCCTTTCAGCTTAATGGGTATCAAATACAATAACAATCATACATAAGAGGTTTGACCTCTCGTGTAAGTACGATTGTTATTTAAGCTTGTAAAATAGACTTCCTACCTACATCGTTAATCGAGCAGCCACAACGTTGCTGCTGAGCAGAAGATCTCGGGTTCAATTCCCTGTTCAAATCCAGGTACTTATGGTGGTACTGATCGAGATGTCGCAGATCAAAATTTCACCTGGATTATTTGCAATGCACTTTTAGCAGATTTACATGCATTTTCGTCTAAAAAAAACGACTATGACATATCGATGCGTGCCCAAGCGATATCTCCTATTTACGGATAATTAGAAACAGCTTAGCAAGGGGATTATGGAAAGTTCCTAAAGAGTGTAATTAGGAATAACAATCACATAAGCATTAGGCCCACAAAGGACTACACTATAAAAAAAACTGCTTGTTCTACTTCCATGCGGTGTGGAAACAAATTTTTTCCCAAAATGCTCATAAAAATCAATTTTGCTGTGCTCTGGCGCTAAAACTACTTAATATATTACAAAAAAACCTGCCTAGACATAAATTGTGAGTAATTTCATTAAGAAGTCAACGTTTTCTTCTAAAATGCACAGGATTGCGTTTGTTGATTGCGGCGCGAGCGGCGCACGTGCGAGGGTGCAAAATGGAAATCAGAAAGAGCACAATGACTTCAAAATTTACAAAATTCCTAATTTCAAAACTCCCGGAAAACATTCCAAGAACTTGTATGTTTGTATACGGACCCCCGACCTAGGAGAAAATCCTAGTGTGGGACAACGTCTTTATTAACATAAAAACAAATGTAGTTTAGTATTCCATGAGTAAAATCATAAAAAATATGTTTAGGTTGAAAAACCATTAATTATATTGATTGTTGGAATGGTCTGGTTAGGATTTGTTAGAATATTGAGTCAACAAATTGGTGACTTTTCATTAATATTGCAACCATTGGCTTATTTGACTCGTATCTAAAGCACTGAACGTATTTAAAATATAGACCTAAAGGTAGGTTGACAGGAGGACACTGGCGTTGACATTTCATAAATGTCAACTGTCTCGTTTTGATCAATATTATTGAGGAAGATCAACAATGTTTACAAAAAAATGTTTTGTTCGTTTCACAACATTTTCAAGCAAAATTAATTGATTCAATCGTCGTATAAACATGTATGTGAGAAAGAGTATTCCTATAAACTAGACTAGACTGTTACCGAATAACAGTGTGAACAGTGCACTACAATCTGAACTAGGAATTTGATTGTGATCGTATAATATTGTTATGTGTATTTCAACACAAAATGAGTGAACAAAAGAAGAATATTAACTGTCGAATATGTTTACGATGCGATTTAAACAAAGAACATAAAACATTCTCATTGTTTGAGAAGTACAATCACTCTATAATATCAGACAAAATAAAATATATAGCCAACATCGAAATTAAACCGAATGATGGCTTGCCATCAACAGTATGCCCTGACTGCCTACTACAGCTCGAGACTGCGATTATCATCAAACAGAAATGTGAAGCATCTAACAAAATCCTACAGACTGTTGTACAGCAGCCATCTAAAGTATGTAAAGTGTCTATCAAACTTCCGTTTAAAAAGGAAGTACATGTAGATAACGCAAATAAGAGGACGAATACCACAACATCATGTCCTACAATACCTGAACATAAGGATAATGGCCAACACTTGAACAGTAAACAAGATCAACAAGTGGTACTGGAAAATAATCCTAAATCAAACAAAGCTAAGGTTGAAAGATTAGAGAGAAAAATAGAAAAACCTTCTCAGGCCAAAAAGGAATCAGTTATAAAGGAAACCAAACCATTATTTGTAAAAGTAGAGATTCCAAACCATTTATGTATAATACCTTTAACTGAAAATTATGAATCTTTTAATGAAATAGAACAACCGGATGATGACATAGTATCTGATCACGAAGGACCCATACATGACAGAACAGGACAAACAGAAACACTAACAGAAGATACACTTGACAAAACAAATGAGGTTGATTCTAAAAAAATAAATGGAGAAAAAAAAAGTAAAGCCATAGACTTACAGTTAATATGTGATGACTGTGGTGAAACATTTAAGACTAAATGTAAACTCAGTGTGCATTGGAAGAAGGATCACCTGCATGAAAAGTTGATATGCTCTAACTGCAAACGGACGTTCAAAACTTTTAAAGCTCTCAATGTGCATCGTAAAAAAATGAGCAGGAGCTGTTATGCTGCTACTCTAGTCCGTATTGAAGGTCTGGGGAAGGATAGAGTATTTCACTGCAAAGATTGTACCTATCACACTAAAAACATCAAAGACATAGACGCTCATTTAGTTACACACAATGGTATTCGGCGATATCAATGCAAGGATTGTTTGAAATGGTTCACCCAACACAGCTCGCTACAAGGACACAGGGAAGCACATCACAATGATTATAAAAAAGTAGGCACTTGCCAATACTGTGGTAAACATATAAAAGGCCGCAACAAATTGTACAAACACTTAGTAAATCATGAGTCAAAGTCCGTACAATGTGAGATTTGTAAGAAAATATTAAAAAATCGTAGCAATTTGAGAAACCATATGAAAAGACATAGTGGTGTTAGAAGTTATACATGTACAAGCTGTCCTGCGAATTTTTTCACTATGGCTGAACTTTGTAATCACCGTAACAGGGTCCATTGTAAAGCTAAAACATTTAAATGTAATCTGTGTGGGTACTTGACAACTACAGCAAGATTATTAAAAACACACATATCTCGGCATACAGCAACCAATGTTGTGTGTTTTATGTGCGGCATGTTCCTTGACAATGAAGAGAAGTTAGCCATCCACCAGAAGAGACATATGGAGCAGAATTTTGTTTGTCGACATTGTGATAAAGGCTTCTTCCTTAGAGAATCACTGAGAAGGCATTTAGCCAAGATACACGATGATTTATCGCCAGACTCACTAGAACAATCAAAACCTGTGAATGTAAAACAGGAGAGTTCTGTAGAAAATAAGTTAAATAGTTAATTTTAATATTTATATTTTTGTTCCAATATTATAATTATTTCCCAAATTATGTCGTAAATGTTGTGTCACAATAACTGTTCAATATTTAGCATAGCTTATAACTTTTAATAGTTGAGATTGAGACTTATTTTTATGATGTATTATAAATGTATATATTTTTTCTTCTGTGAAGAGTTATCTATTTACACAAAGTAACTAAGAACTCAATTGAGCCTCTGTTAATTTGATCCAGTAATGATTGAATATTCGTTTTAATTATTATAATCGATTATATTGCATGCTGAGACCAGCTGGAGTCAGTTTACTGAATAGAATTAAATGTCTGAGTATAGAAATCTATATATTTATTAAGAAATAATTTTATGTAGAAAAGTATTTAATGCACTATTTATTTTTTAATTTGCCAATATCGTGGCTTTCAATGTTTATACATTAATTATTTTCGTATTATGGAAATAGTATTATTTCTTAGAAAATGTGCAATATATAAAACAGTTTAAACTTCTTATTGGAAATTAATATAAGATAATGATATTTTTAAAAATGTGTTTTATTTTACATACCTATTTTCGTCATCAATAGCCGAAAGACGTCCTCTTCTGGACAAAGGCCTCCCCCTTGGTCCTCTACGTCGAACGACAACTCGCCACCCGCATCCACTGGCTCCCCGCAACTCTGGCGACGTCGTCGGTCCACCTAGCGGGAGACCTGCCCACGCTTCATCTTCCGGTCCGTTGTCTCCACTCAAGGACTTTCCTGGCCCATCTGCCGTCAGTCCACATTACATTCGTACTTTAAATATAGTACTTACCGAAGATGGAATTTCCTCAGCCTAGGTAGGTACCTCACTAATTTTCTCATACTTGTTTTATTTGGTAGTTAGGTACCTACGCTTTTTTTTGAGAGGCGATAATCATTCAATTCCTTCTCCCACCCGGGTGAGGTGAGTCGAAGTGTCAGACTCTTATTAACTAAAAACCACCCCGTTCCTACTCCTACACTTCGAGCCGGAGCTCCGGCAACCCGTTAGGTTCTCCGCGACTTCGGATCGGCATCAGCCCTATTGGGCCCCATCCGTGGTGGTCTGATGGGTCTTTGAGGCGCGCGCCAAACGCGACGCGCACAGTAGTTGTCTACACGTAGGCAATCGCTCACGGATATTGTATTTACTAACTATCCGTAGTTCCTACGTTCCTAATAGAATAATGAAATGACGTAAGTTACAAGAACAAGTGCGTTTTCCTATATAAAGGCCGGCAACGAATTTGTGTTCATGGGCAACGATCGCTTACCATCAGGTGATCAGTGAACTAGGTATTCCATAAAAAAACAAAACCTACATATTTTCATTAGTTCCTTTTGGCGAATAAGTAGTGCCTTGTAAACGGAATAAAATAAATATATAATGCAATACCTTTATAATCCAGATTTGCAGCTATTACTGAATATAGGTATAAGGTAAGGTAACTAGTTAATCAAAGAAATCTTGCAAGATTAAATGAATGGGCAGAAAGAGTAGGTACCTACGGTACAGAATAAAAATATTACTACGGCTTCCATGTAATCTGTACCCGGACCTTCCTTGAGCTTAACCAAACCAATTCGTTTCGGTTTCGGCCTACATTTTTAGCGAGAATTTCTATCATAGTTTTGCAGAATAAAATATTTTACCTATATTTTTGTGTAGGTACTGCAATGTAGATGTAGATATCTAAGAGAGCCCCGTCATTATTATTCATCATCATATTAATAGGGTAGATAACTCATTTTTATTTTAATGTCCGTTTGGTACATTTTAAAAACATTAGACACGTATTTATTATTTTTTTACTAGATTGATTCGAAATGTCGCGTGACGTCACTTCTATGTACATTTTATACGTAGAAATGACGTTTTAGCCCCCACTCCTAAACTTTGATTCGTTTTATCTAAGTATCATTTTATCATACAACAAAAAATACGTGTCTAGTATTTTTTCATTACCTAACTGACGGACTAATTACATTTTTAATTTTCATACCCTGTCATCATCCCTATTCTCCGTTTCTTGTTGCTTTTTTTTAGTTGGTTTGTACCTATTCGATATTTTTAACTAACATACGAGTACGTCTTCGTTTTGATATCATGCATTGTTATCGGCGCAGTAGCTGGGCGGCCGGCTGCTGCGCAACGTGTCGCGAGTTTGATTTGTGTGTATGTGTGTGGGGGCTAAATTAAAACAAAAATATTAGATACAAAATCATTGCAATACGTAATTGTGTAGTTATTCAGCTGTTTCTTTTTGTTTCTGCGAGTTGTTATTGTTTTGTAGTTAGCTAACTTACCTGATACTTAACCAGAAGAAAATATGAAAATCGATATACACCACTTAAAAAGGTTAGTAGGTACTTTGGGATGAGCACAATTCTGAGACAAAAAAAAAAACAATAGGTACAGCGTAGAGCTCTGAAAAAACCCTACCCGTTCGAAAAAAGAAAAAGAAAAGAGTGATTTTATGCAAGCGATGGGTCTTAGGTACACCAAAAAAGATATTAGGAAATCTAAAACATTCTAAAAGCTGATTCTAAATTCTCCTTACAAGTTAGGTTGTAAAAAAAGTTATCTAACTATTCTTGTTTTGAAAGCACAAGTCGATTAAGATTAGCTCCGGTTTTTATGATTTCATAATAGATATGTTACCTTAAATATAGTATCTACTTGCATTTTGCAGCCATATAAGTATTTTTTATGTTTTCAATAACCGGTTTTTGCACCGCGCGGTAGCGCTGCACTGTTGCTTGCATCATAGACTATGCTAGAGAAAGCAAAGATGAGACAGTGCAGTGACTACTTATTAGGATGCAAATAAAGAGTTTAGGTATATGCAAATAAAGAGTTTGAGTTTGAGTTTGAGTTTAGGTACTTAGGTAGGCAGGTACCTAATAACGATTTGATGATAATTTATATTTATTTAGAGGTAGAATCACCTACAAATATAAGATATCGTTTATAGGTATTAAACTGTCAAACACCAAGCGGTCACCGGTGACCGCAACCTATTGTTCTATAATTGTGTCTACAAAACCCGTACTCGACGAGTTAAAATTGTGAAAATTATTATGGAGTTTCAATGTGGCAGTGTTAGTTCTATTCTATTTAAAGATCTTAGGCAATAAAAGTCAGGTCGATCATTAAAAACCTATTCTATAACTAGAAATTAAACATTAATAAATATCGTAATTATTGACCTAAAGAGACGTCTAATAGATTCCTATACTTTTTAAAAGCGATTAAAGGCAAACATTGCATTTATTTTATGCAACTAATTAAATGTACCCATATCATTAAATAAATCTGCCTGTCCATAAATTCTCTCACCTGTGCACTGCACGCATGATCTTTGACTGCGCGGCGCCGTTCGTCGCCGTCGACCAGCCACCGCCATTTTTGCCTCAGTCCAGTTATACCCGCGCCGAGTTAACACGTGTCAGTATCGTATTTGCCGCCAAAAACGATCGTCAACAAAAATGAATCTGTTTGGTGTAAATATTTAAATAATCCCACGTTTCTTATTGTGTAATATCGTTGAAAATAAACTTTTTTGTGTGTGTAAAGTAATGAATATTTAGATTTGTTGCAAAAAAGCAGTGTTGCAATTTTTGTCTAAAACTTTTCGAATAGATTTGTTCGGTTTGCTGTTTTGTGATTTTAAAGTGTTGTAAACAGTGATTTTCTGGTATAGTTAGTGTCGAGTTGGATTCTAATTGGAGCCGAGCGGTCCGGTGGTGATATTTCGCCGTTCCCAGGCGTACTTTGGCAACAGGTTAGTTGTGAACATTCAACCCGCATGATTTCGGACGCGATTGCATGTAAACTGTTTATAAATAACGGTGATTATACAACGACTTAAATATTACTCTTTGTTACTACAATATCTTATGTGACTGAAATTATTGATATTACAATTTTTGGAAACTTATTGTTCTTTTACATTACAATCGTAAAGTTGTTTGCGTGGATGTGTGTTGATACGAAATCATCAACAATTGGTTCAGAAATATTACGGATGTTTATAATTGTAATAAATGTAAAAATAAAACTACACTAACTAGACTTATCTGTTTCTGTTTGATGAGTATTTCCAGCGTTATGAAGACGATTCTTGGCTCCTAAAGATACCTACCAATACTATCCAAGCCGCTCCGGACTCCAGACATCCTGACATTCAGTAGAAAGGGCCTGAGAACATCGTCTGGTGCATTCGTTATCCTTCCTTTCCCTCCTTGCGCATCTGTGTGAACTGAATTTCATCGCTTATAATTTCATTTCAATTAAGGTAAAAATACCGATTTTACTGTAGTTAGGATAAAATACAGATACAATATATGTACCTAGTTGTACAATAGTCTTATTTGCATTACATAAATCGCATAACATAAACATTCGTAGTTTAGATACCTAGGTACCTATGTAGGTTGTAAGTAGGTAACCACGGGAACGTAAATCGTAGGACTCATATAATCGTACGTAGACATAGAATTTAAGTAGGTATTTAACTGGAAAGGCGAAAGATGTTTGTCCAAATGCATTAGTTAATTAGTTCCATTGCAAATAAGTATGATTACATTTCATAGCCACAAATCATAAAAATTAGATATGTAATTTATAACTACAGGATACTGAGCACAAAAACCGTTGGTCCCAGTTATCTCGGACAAAAGAAGAGCAGAAAGAAAAATAGGTACATTCCTTACGTAGTCTAGAATAAGACTTAAAATCTACCTACGAAGATGAAGAGATCCAGGGTTTCGCTTAGCCACGAATAAACTTAATAGCTCACAGGTATCTACGGTGGTAAAGAAAGTAACCTTTAATAAGTTGACTGCACGGTTGGTGCGGTGGCTGGGCAACTGGCTGCCATGCAACGTGTCGCGGGTTCGATTCCCGCACGAGACAACACTTTGTGTGATCCACAGATTGTTGTTTCGGGTCTGGGTGTCATTGTGTATGTGAACTTGTATGTTTGTAAACGCACCCACGATACAGGAGAAAATCCTAGTGTGGGGCAACGTTTAAAAAAAAAAAAAAAAGCCAAGATGACCATTTACTACCTCAACTGCTTTTAAATTATCGGTTTGCCTAAATAGACGTGGCCAAACCCACAAACACATGAAAGCTATTTTGAAATTGATCTGGGTCTGCACTTGGTGGAAAACATGACATGAGAAAAACTAACTACAGTCGCCAAAAAATCAAGATATTTTCATCATCATGTGTTCATGATGATGAAGTTAAGTTAGGCTGTTGCCTAAAACGGTTTACTACTGCTAGGCTATTTGTAACGTTCAATTGGTTACTTTCCTTAATTAAAAATGAATGAAATA